GTGCTCTCCTCCCCTCCCTCTCCGCCCCGCAGGTACCGGCTGTCTGGTCCGAGCCGTGGAGATGGCCGCCCAGCGCCAGGCCGACATCATAGGGAAACCCAGCCGCTTCATCTTCGACTGCGTGTCCCAGGAGTACGGCATCGACCCAGAGCGCACCGTCATGGTGGGAGATCGCCTGGACACAGACATCCTCCTGGGCGTCACCTGTGGTCTGAAGACCATCCTGACCCTCACCGGCGTTTCCACTCTAGGGGACGTGAAGAGTAATCAGGAAAGTGACTGCATGTCTAAGAAGAAAATGGTTCCTGACTTCTATGTTGACAGCATAGCTGACCTTTTGCCCGCCCTTCAAGGTTAAAGACTTAGTGTCTTTAATCTCCAGAATAAAACAAATTGAAAACCACTTACCCAAATTAATAGGTGGGGCTTAAGCATCCGCTCAGCTAGGTGGCTTCAGAGAGTATACTTGGAGTTAAGTAAAGGCACTAGTTGTTAACCTTGTAAGTAAACGTTTGGGGGGCGATGTTGTTTACAGATGCTTATATTTGAAGATGCACTTTTAAACCTGGAGGGCGTTGTGGGGGTCCTGGGCATCCGGTGCCATTGACAAGGGCAGGCTTAATCTGTCCAGGATTCGGGTCACCTCAGGGTGATTACCCAACCTGCTCATGGGACTGAAGCAGGTCTAGGATGTTCCATGTTTTATTGAAAATTTTATTCAGGGATTGGGCCTCCTATACAGGGTAGAGGGGAGGACGGTCCGGTTATTTTGACTGTTGTGAGGAACTTGTACAGAGCGCCCCAGGGCCTGTCTGTGTGGTCGTCTGCGGATGATCCTGCTCCGGGATCCCGGCTCCTCACCTGCAGGGTGGGAGTGGAGGACAGGGTATGTCCCTGTCCCTGGGCCGCAGGGTGCTGACCTCACCACCACTGCCCCACGCTTCCTTAAAAACCACTCTGATGTCACAATCAAGTGTCTGTTCCGCTTCGGATACCCAGGGCTGCCACACCTCATATGTGGTCACGGAGTTCTGGCAACTGCGTCCTGCTAAGCCTCAGTTTTTTCAAGTGTGCATTTAAATCCAGCTGACTTGAACTGAGCAAAGCGTTGGCTGAGCAGCCGAGAGGGTGTGGATGCCTTTGCTGAACTCTGGGCAGCTGTGCAGAGAGCTCAGAGTAGTGTTGGTACCAAAAATTATTTTTTTACAGTTTTGAACAACTTTTGTCAAACGGTGGAATTGAATCTTAAGTGTGTTAATTAATAGCTGTGCTCTGTCTTGTAGGGAAAAATCCCCTGGAGAAGTCTCCGTGCCCCGCAGCCAGCAGCACGGCTAAAGGCATGTGCTGGCCAAGGAATGCCTGTCGCCCTGGGCGCCCTGTGGGGGAGGGGAGGTGGGGAGGAAAGAGGTGTCCCCAAGAACAGGAAATCCTTTTACGAGGCATCCGATGTCTTCCTGTCCTCCCGCACCCTGTCGGGGTGGGGGTGAGATGCCAGTGGTCCACGAGGCCACTTATGTCGGCTCTGGAGCCCCTCGTGGGAGGCCAGCGGAAGGACTGGCTGGGTCCACCTGCTAGCCAAGGGTTCTTGGCAGCGGGCCCTGGCCTTTTCTGCCTCTTCCCTAAGTTGCTGACCTGATAAGCAGACTGTCCAGCCGTACTTGTAGGGCAGGGCCTGGGAAGCTGTTCCTTTTGGCCGACTCCTTCCTGGTGCCTCTCCCTGTATTCCACTGGCATTTGCCCCCAGTTTCTCTCCTAGCCCCAGAGCCGCTCCTTCACTGAATCTCTTAAGTTCTCATAGCAATAAAGGGTGTCCCAAGCCTGCAGCTCTTCCCAGGGCCGGGGTGGGGTGTCTGGGGTTTGAACTCTGCGGCGGGGCAGCACGAGGGCGGCCAGCACCTGTGAGGTTGGTGGTGCTGACGTTGGCTCTGCGAGGTCGGCTCAAGGTGGGTCTGGATATTGAGCAGGCCTGTCAGGGCGTTGTCACCCACACCAGGAGCACGCGGCAGGTGCGGCAGCCAGCAACACTTCCGCCGGGCAGCGGCCCGGGAGCCCAAGTGCGCCGCATCTCTCTCCCTGTTGCACTGTGTGAACCCAAATCTGTATTAAACTCTCAAACCTGCGCTGACTCTGGCGTTCTTTGCCCGTGTTTTGACAGCAGCCCTCGTGCAGAGGCTGCAGCAGCCTCGCCCAGTGTGGGTGTGGGGGGCTCCAAGGAGGACGTGTTCTGGGATCGCAGTTCCAGAGCCGGGGTGCCGACCACCACGACGTCACCGCATCCCAGGCCCGTTACAGAGGGGCGGGTGAGTGGGTTCCGGGGAATTAGGAAAAAGGCACAGAGGAAAGCCACAGGCAAGGACCACAGGGTGTGAAGCTTGTTGGGAGCACACATCCTGTGAGCTGCCGGTGCCTGGCGGAGTCCTGTCACAACCCGCGTCCTGAAGAAGCTGGAGACGCAGGCTGGGAGCAGGGCCTCAGAGGAAACCACCCTGGGCTGGGCCGGCAGCCCCAGGTGTGCGGGGGCTCCAGTAGGCTGCCTGGACCCGTCCTGGTCTCACACCTGCGTGCTACGTCTGAGGAATTGGGAAGCGGCTGGGGGGACATGGGATCGAAGGACACAGGCAGCGTGGACTCCCTTACCGGTCATTCATGAAACGCATTTATTGATGGTTTGCCACGAGCCAAGCCCCAGGAATCCAGAAGTAACAGTAAAGAGACTGGAACAGCCTCTTTAGAAAACTTAAGCCCGTCCCCAAGCAGACTCTGTAAAGTCGTTCTGCCTGGGCCACCCTCGGTGCCAATCAGTGGGAACTGGTTTCCCGGACAGCCATGCACTTCCAGTCTCCAGTCAGCACAGGCCAGGTGTCCAAGAGCCAGGCACAGTGACAAGCACCCCACCCCAAGGATGGGGGCTGTCCCGGCTCTGACCCTGATATCAAGTAGCTGGGCTGGCGGGAAGCAAGGGGGGGGGGGCAAGAGAGGAGGGGGCTGGGATGGTTGTTGGCTCATCACTGTACCGAGGTTTCCCCAGCTGACTGCAAGGGGCAGCAGACAATCAGTGCATTGTCACCAGGGCCGCGGCATGGAGCAGACGGGCTGCTGCGAGGAGAGCCCCGGGCCCCGCCAGGTGAGTGCCTCCAAACACCTGGTGCCCTCTCCAGGGACAGAGACCCAGGGCTTGACCTGGGCAGGGGACAGGAGCGCAAGTGCCCACCTCCCACCCCTCGCCTTCCCGAACCAGCCTGCTCCCCGGTCTCTGCTCTAGGCCCCACGGACTGCGATGTGCCCCCAGGTGAAGGCCAAGCCCTGGAAGACCCCCGGCCTGCTCCTGCTGCTGCTGGCACTGGCCGCTGCGGGGGTCGTGGCTGGAGGGCTTCTTGGCTTCGCTCACAGCCCTCCCAAGGTGAGCTCCTCCTCAGGACCCAGCCAGGGACACAGACACTGGGAGGTGGGGGGAGGACAGCACATCCCAGCCTTCCAGTGGAGCCAGGGCCCTGAGCAGAGGCAGGAGGCCCAGGCGGGTGGAGGGGTCAGAAACCTCACAGGGAGAACTGGGGGCGTGTCGGGGGCCGCCCCGGCCTACCCAGCTGAGCTCTGGCTTCCTGATGTCAGCCTCTGCTGCAGATGCTCCGTCTGACCCTCCCGGGCCCCAGGGCACCCCGGTCCAACCAAACCACCCAGGTGGATGCGGCCCGGAACGTGGCGACCATCCGGGTGACCCCAGCTCAGAGCAACCACAGCTGGGCGGTGCTGTTCGATGGGCAGAGCGTGAGTGGGCTGGGGGTGTGGTCAGCACCCACGGATGTACAGGTGGCCCTGCCTCACCCGCCTGCCTCCCCAGGGCTGCGTCTGTTACCGCCCCTCAGAACACCGGGCCTGCTTCCTCCGCCCGATGGAACCCCGAGATCGCGAGACCCTAGAGCTGCTGGTGAACAGCTCACAGGTAAGCAGCCCCGTGCGGCCCATGCGGCCAGGCTCCCGGGGCCAGGGGACAAAGGGTCCTGTGTACAGCCCGGCCCTGCAACGGGCCGGAGCTCTGGTTTCAGGGAACAGAAGCCCTGTCTTCCCTTGGCTGAGGCTGCTGACAAGAGCTGAGGGTGGTGCCGGCACTGGGCCAGCGTGTCCAGGGGACAGGCCCTGCCCCAAGCAGGGCAGGTGCAGGTGCCCCAGTGCCATGGCCCACCAGAGTCTTCTCCGCAGGCCCGAGGGTCTCACGGCCCCAGCCAGGACACCCGCTACGTCCAGGAGCTGCTGGCAGTGCTGGGGGACCGTGAGGTGGACCCCGCCCAGGTGGGGGAGTCGGTGCGGCACCTTTGCACGAAAACGCCCATTTACTGGGCCCGTCGAGCAGAGGGTAAGTTGGGGCTGTGCCGAGAGGCCTGGGCTCCTGCACGACAGTCTGGAGAGAAGGGTGAGGAGCCCCCTGGGGCTCAAGCAGACCCCTTCCCCCAGGACCCCGGAGGCAGCGGCTGGTCTACCTGTGCATCGACATCTGCTTCCCCAGCAACATCTGCGTGTCGGTCTGCTTTTATTACCTCCCAGACTGAGTTCAGAGCCCGGCCCGGCCCACAGGCCAGCCAGCTGGCCGTCCCCGCCATCAGTCGCAAGGAAGGTGGCTGCCGGCGGGGCTAATAAACCCTGCACCTGGCCATAACGGTGTTCTTTGTGGCTTCAGTACACAGAACGGGCAGGCGGTGGAGGGAACACTGGCTTGGGACGGGACACCAGCCTCGGATCCCCTAAGTCATGTGGCTCTGGAATTTCTGAAACGAGGGTAGGCTGGCTCAGGTCGGCTGCCTGTCACATCCACCTAAGCAACTGGAAGCTGAGAGGATCCCAGGCCATACCGGCCTGGCCCCTGGAAGCCGGCCGAGGAGACCAGGGTAGCCAGGCAGGGCCAGCTGGCCTGGGCTGGTGGAGGTTCCCTCTGAGCCGGGCATCTGAACAGACGTATTCAGCAGGCGCTGCCTGGACAGCTGCCTGCGGCTCCGAGGCGGCCCAGGTTAGCCCAGCACGCTGTCGTTGAAGGCCAAGCAGACCACAGCTTTCTGATGGCCCCCGTACTCTCTCTTGATCTCTCCTGTCTCCACGCACCAGAGCCGGGCCAGGTTGTCAGAGGAGGCTGCGGGGAGGGTGTAAGCAGTGGCTCAGCACGCAGCCCCAGGGCAGGAGTACAGGGGGCTGGCGGGGATGGGGACGGACAGGCCGGGTACACCGGGCTCACCGGTGACGATGTACTGAGAGTCCCCCGAGAAGGCGCAGCCCCACATCCAGCCTCGGGATGACTCTCCCGGGTTGCTGCTCCTGATGCTGAGCTCTGTCATCAGGGAGAAGTTGGACGTCCTCCAGATCTTGCACGTCTGGTCAGCCGAGCAGGTGGCAAGGAGCCTAGGGAGGGGCGTGATGCGGCGGGGGCGTCATCAGCAGTCACTCCCACCCTGCACCCCTCCGCCATCCACGAGGCAGGCCCCGACCCATCAGGCCCCCTGAGCCCGCACACACGTGGAGTCAGGGCTGAAGCGGCACTGCAGGGCGTAGCGGGTGTGTGCAGGGATCTTGGTCTTGGGGATGAGCTGTGTCACCTCGTCGCCAATGCCCCCAGTCAGATTCCAGACGTAGCAGTTCCCCTGCAAGCAGGCGGGGAGTCATGGGAAGCCCGGAGCCTTCCATCTGACGCACAGGGAAGGCTGCCCTGGCAGCTGGACCCAGACCCAGGGGCTGCCACCCAACACGCAGAGATCTGGGGGCCCGGGACGTGTGGCCGGCACCCCTGGTCCTGCCCGCACAGACTGCCCGGCAAGCTGAGAGCGAGAGGCCGCGCCTGGCTTTCGTGAGTGCTGCTGGCCAATGGGAGTGTGAAGAATGAGAAGGGAGTCGGGCCCCTCAGACAGTGGGGACAGAAGGAGGGCGGTGTGGGGGACACCATGGGACAGCTGATCTGTTGAGAGGTAAGGACATTACAGGGAGAAGATGAGGCCACACGGGGCATCGGGGCTAAACCCCAGCGTCCCAAGGCCAGGGTGAAGAGCCAGGTCACCTAGGGGGTCTGTGCAGGGAATGGAGCCCTCGGGCAGCTGAGCGAGAGTGGCACAGGGGTGGAGGATATCAGTGAGGGCGGAGGGAGGACACAGAGCGGCCGCAGCCGATGTGCGAGGACACAAGCCAAACTGGGACCAGGAGGAGACGGGGAGGAGAGGGAAGTAGAATCGAGAGGCTCTGGAGGTGGAGGTGACAGCCGCTGGATGAGCCATGGTAGGAGCGAGAGGGGGCGTCAGGATCGACACCCGGGTTTCTGGCTTTGGTGGCTGGGTTGGAGCCCAGGGTGGGGGGAGCAGGCCTGCGGGGGGTGGGGGAGTGTGGGGGAACATCTGGGGAATAAGCCACGTGGAGGAGTAAGGAGGATAAGGGGCCGGGTGGAGCTGGCCTCCCCCGCGCGCTCACACCCAGGACTCACGGTGCTGTTGACGGCTGCCATGTAGCTGGCATCGGGGTCAATGTGGGCAGACGTGATGGAGACCTCAGGCTCGGGTATCAGCTGCTCATTGTGGTCGGTCTTCAAGTCCCAGATGTGGATGGCGCCGCTCTGGTCACCCACGATGAGCTCCGCCTGGGGTGCAGGGGAGGTGAGGGAGGGCGGGAGTCTCCCGCCCTCCTGCACACCTCGGTGCCCGGCCCCGTGCGCACCCCTCACCTGGTTGGGGTGCAGGCACACGCAGTTAATGGGTGCGTTCACCTGGAAGATCCGCTGACACTGTAGGTTGCGGGACCTTTGGGGCGGGGCACACGCTGTAGTGGGTGCGATCAGCGCCCCACAACGTGCTCTCTGCATTCGGCACCCCCAGGGGCGGCCCCTGGCCTCAAGGTGGCACTTGATGCAGTTCATGCTCCAGAGCTCTCTACGGTGTCAGGCTGAGGCCGGGCTCGTCTTTGTGTGGCTTCACCCCTGCGCTACCCTGCTTTTGTCGCTGCCCTCAATAAATCACCCGCAAGGGAAAGCCCATCTCAGCCTCTGCTTGGAGGGCCCCGCCCCGAGACGGTCTCCTGGCTGGCCCCCAGCCCCACACAACCAGCAGCAGGCCCCTCCTACCCACGGCCCCACACCTGAGGTCCCAGATCCGAGCAGTGCAGTCCTCCCCACCCGTGTACATCCACCGACCGTCCTCATGGAAGCCCACAGACGCGATGTTCTTGTTGACCCCGTCGTAGCTGATGATGGGGTTGGGGTTGTTGGAGCTGAGATCATACATGCGAATGTGCTGGTAACCTAGGGGCACAGGGTAAACTGAAGAGTGGCTGTGCCTGGAGAGGCTCAGCAGAGATGGAGGGTCGGGATGGAGGGTACAGGTACCTGCAGCCGCGATCATGCTGCGGTCAGGCGTGATCTCCAGTGCGTTCACCTGCTAGGGTCTGTTAAGGAGCGTGACGAACGGAACCCCGGAGCCAGAACCCTCGAGGCCTCCACCGTCTGGCTCGGCTGCTGCATCCTTCCCACCCCAGGCACCCGTCCTTTGCCTAAGCTGTCACCCCCACCAGGCGTCCTTCCCCGAGTGGAGGATACAGAGTCCTGATGCTGCACCGTGCGGGTACAGATCCCACTGTGGGCCTGCCAGAAGCGCACCGTGTGGTCATAGCCCGCAGTGGCCAAGATGACCGGGTCACTGCCCACCGTGCCCGGGGACGTGTTCATGGTGTGGAAGAAGGCTTGGGTCTGCACTGGACCCGACTTCTGAAAAGTAGGGGTCAAAGGTCAGAACACCTGCACAAGAGAGGGAGGTGCAGTATTTAGGGAACACCCTCTGGGTCCACTGGGTGCTGAGAGACAGGCATTGTCACTCTCATTTTAGAGATGAGAAAACAGGCTTAGAGGTTCAGAGAACGCGTGACAACCTACGGACAGCTCCCAGCTCCAAGGCACGTGCTCCGTTCCGCGCCCCACGGACCGGGACAGGACGCCACCCCACCCGTCGCCGGCAGGGGGCGGTCACGCCCGGGGCGCCGCTCTGCCGCAGGGGCGGGCCGCGCATGCGCAAGGAAGCGGACGGGCCGGAGAGGAAAGCCGAGCCCTGCGGCTGCGCATGCGTAGCAGGCCCGCGGCTAGGCCTGATGGGAGGGGGCGCTCTCTGGCCCGACCCTCGGGTTTCCCGGTGCTTCGCCGACAGCCCTGGCTGCGTCCCGCTGGGCCACCTTCACCCAGGCGCTCTCTCCTGGCCACCCAGGAGCCGCTTTGCGGCCCTCGCCCCGCGGCCCCCGTACCTTACACGCGGCTCTGCGCTCCGCCGCGGCCCAGGACGGCGAGCGGAGCCGGAGCAAGTCGATAGAGGCCGCGGCCGAGCGTAGAGTTATCGATGGGCCTTGGGCGACACCACGAGACTTAGGCGGGGGGGGGGTGGGGCGAGACCAACGTTCTGGGGCGGGGGGAGGCCCCCGTGAGGCCTGGCCTCAGCCTTCTCCCCACTGGGGCACCCCACCCTTCGGACAGCTACTCATTTTCCAGGCTTGGTCCCAAGGGGGGCTGCGCCCCACCCCCTTCCCTCCATCCCCTGCTCCCCACGCCCGTCTAGGATGCCCAAGTAAATTACAGGACGTCCAGTTAACATTTGAATTTCAAGGAAGCAACGATAATTATTTTTTTTGGTATAAGTATATCCCAAATATTCCACGGGATATACTCATACTAAAAAGCTAATGATGGCCATGGGGAATGCAAATGTTTAACTGGATGTTTTGTAGTTTTATTTGCTAGAAATGGCAATCCTAGTCTGGGCTCTTTCAGTCCTCTTCAGCCCTGGCCTGACCCTCTTGTCTGCCCCCTCTGCCCAATGACCCCTCCAAAACTGGGGTCCCTCATGCTTCCTGTTCTATTTAGCACGCCCACACTCCATGCACTGTGGCCTCATCCTCTTAAATGGAAAAACAAAAATCCCACGGTTTCTTCCCACCACACTTAAAAACACAGTAACACACCTCCCCTCCTTTGGCTCCACATCCCCCCACCATGCCACTGGGCCCTGGGTCCCAGGAACCTTCCCTCCAGTACCTTCCCCACCTTCCTCCTTCCCCTGGGCTTGCTTTCTCCCTCTGTCCACTCCAGATGCCACGTGCTCCATCCTGCCAGGGTGGACAACAGCAGAAGAACTTGACATCGTTCTGAGGGAGAGAGAGAGAATCCCAAGCAGACTCTGCACCATCAGCACAGTGCCTGACACAGGGCTCGATCCCACGAACCAGACCGTGAGATCACGACCTGAGCCAAAATCAAGAGTCAGCGCTTAACCCACTGAGCCACCCAGCCGCCCCTGGGCGTGTTTTTGTTTTAATTGTTTTCACACACTATGAAATTAACCTTTTTTTTTTTTTTAAGTTTTATTTATTGGGGAGACTGGGTGGCTCAGTGGGTTAAGCGTCCAACTCTTGATTTTGGCTGACGTTATGATTTCACAGTTTGTGAGTTCAAGCCCAAATCAGGTTCTGTGCTGACAGTGCAGAGCCTGCTTGGGATTCTCTTTACCTCTCTCTCTCTCTGTTCCTACCCTGCTCCCGCGCACGCTCTCTCTCTCTCAAAATAAATACATAAACTCAAAACCATTTTTTTAAGTTTTATTTGTTTATTTTTTAGCGATCTCTACACCCAACATGGAGCTTGAACTCACAAACCCTGAGATCAAGAGTCACATTCTCTTCCCACTGAACCAGCCAGGTACTCCTGAAATTGACCATTTTTAGAGGGAACAATTTAATGGCTCTTAATACATTTACGGTGCTATGCAATCACTACCTCTGTTTAGTTCCAGAACATTTTCATCACCCCAGAGGAAAACCCTGTACCTCCGTGCCCTCTCTCCCCCTTACCCCTCCCCACTCAACCCCCAGCCCCTGGCAACCGCCAGCCTACTTTCTGTCTCTATGGATTCGCCTGTTCCGGAAATTGCATATAAATGGAATCCTACGATATATGGCTTTTTTCACTGAACATGATGATTCAAAGTTCATCCAGGTGGTGGGGGCGCATGTAGCACTTCACTCCTCTTTATGGCCCAATAGTATTCCATTGTGTGGCTGGACTGCGTTGATTTACCCACTCATCCGCTGGGGGACACTTGAGTTGTTTACACTTTTTGGCTATTACGAATTATACTGCTGTGAATGTGCTGGTACAAATATCTTTTTGAGTACGTGTTTCCATTTCCCTGTATACTAGGAGTGGAATTGGTGGGTCACATGGTAACTCTATGTTTAACTTTTTGAGAAACCGCCAGAAGGTATCTGGTCTTCACAATGGCTGTGCCAAGGAGAAACCACGCTGGTTTTGGAGATGGGGAAACAGAGGTTCAGAGAGGTAGAGTCATACGTCTAAGGGCACACAGCTGGAACATGATAAAACCCATCCTGCTGGGCTCAGCTGTCCCATGACCTTGCCCCTTCTCGGCAGCCCGACACCTTGCGTGTCCCCTCCATCCTCCTCTGTAAGTACAGGAGCTCCGCCCAGGCAGCTCTGGGAGCGGCAGATGAATACGTAGGGTCAGAAGGCTGGCAGGGGAGCTCTGTGAGCCCCAACACCTAAAAGACATCCGGAACAGTCTGAACCCACGAAGGAGCCTGAGAGCAGGAGGCAGGAGGGAGGGCTGGAGCTGAGGGAAGGCTGGAAGATTCCACCAGGTATCTCTGGGGTCCCACCTGTGGCCCAGGGGCCAGGCCCTGAACTGTTTGTCCTTTCTGTGGGGGCTCTGGGTACAGCCTGGGGACTGCACATGTCCCACGCCTAGGGGTAACTGCTGGGCCGGGCAGGGCTCCCCACCCAGCCCGAGCAGCTCCAGCATCTCTGCTGGGCGGAAAGAGGGGACAGGAGGCATGGCTGTTGACCCTGTCTTATGTAGCAAGCGCCAGCCGAGCACGTTACAGAGGTGGCGTCTACGAGAATGAGAGGAACGATGGCAGCTGACATATGCTGTGTGCTCCCAGCAGCCCGTGGGGACGGTCCCCTTGCCATCCCCACTTTATACGTAAGGGACCAGGCAGCAGGGCTCTGGGGGGCTGGGAGGGGCACCTCCAGCTGGTGGGCAGGAGGAGGGCTTGCGCAGGCCCCAGTGGAGACTGCCATGCAGCTGGGAAGGGGGCCAGCCCGGGCTGCAGTGAGGCGGCCTCCAGCTCGACTCCAGGCTGAGCTTCAGCAGTTCTGCTGGCTCAGCAGCCCCTCCTCCCGGGATCCTCGGAGGCCCGACTTCCTGGAGGGCTGCCCAAGTCCCGCCTCTGCATCCTCGTACCCCCCAGTCGGAGCGGCCGGCCTGCCTGCGACCCCCTCCTCAGGCTTGGGGGGACCCCAGGCAGACGCACGTCCCTGTTTTCACGTGGACCTTCCCCTCAGCCCTGGGCTGCAGGCAGCAGCGCCGCTGGCCCATTTTACGGATGTGGCGGCTGAGTGTCAGGGCTCCTCCAAGGTTGCTGGGCTGGTCAGTGGTGCATCTAGGACTTCTTGACCCCTCCCGGGCCATTAGCCTCACATAGCAGAGCGAACTGAGCAGAATCTGTAACAGCTCTCGTCTTCAGTTCCTGAAAGTGGACCACACAGCAAGGTACCCGCTTACAGGTCTGGGGAGTGACTACGGGGTGCCTATTTGTGGGTTACAGATACAGCTGAGGGGGGGTGGGGCGGGGCGGGCAGCTGCAGGCGGGACCAGTTCATTGCTCAGAGGAATTAGAGAGTTCTAATTTGGAACTTGGCCTTTTGGGCCATGATGAAAGCGTATTTGTCAAGGTAGGAGGACAGAACCTATTTTATTTAATGAGTTATTAGCCTGGCTTATAACAGTTAAATATTTGGACATTTGGTGTGTGGGCCTCTGTTTGTACCCTTGCCCCAGGCCCTGCAAACGTCAGGCTCGGGCCAGAGTGGTTTACCGTGGTCAGCCGAAACACAGAAATAATGGTGAGGACAGCTATCTTCTTCTTTGTATTTTTTGTAACGCTTCCTGTGTGCTAGGCACCCTGCTGGGGTCTGCAGATACGGAGATGAGTAAAGTATACTTGCTACCCAGAGAGCCCAGGCAGAGAGAGCCAAGAATATCACAATATCCACAGAAGCCATTTATTGAGCACTTACTAACTTCTACTGCAAAGTGCTTTATGGAGAGCATCACGATTAATCCTCAAAACACTTAAGGAAAGCTATCATCATTCTTACCCCGGTTTTACAAAGGGGAAACCACGATTCAGAAAGACAAAGACCGGGAAGACAAATGCAGTGAGAGGCAGACCTAGGGCACATGCAGAGACCAGTGTGGGTTCAAAGCTCAGACACATGACCTTCAGATTCTAGGACCTTAGGCGGGTCACTTGGCTTCTCTTGAGGCTCAGTTTCTTCACCTGTAAAACGCACACAGTAAATCTGTGAAGTGACCAGCCAGCATGGTGCCTGAGCTAGCAGAGGCCCAGGAATTGGTTACTATAAAGGGTGAGGGGGGGGGGCGCCTGGGTGGCTCAGTCGGTTAAGC